GCATAAATGTTTATGTATAGCATTTTGCTATACGTGAAACCATCAAGCATGGTCGCAAGTAGTTTATTTTGGGGCGTAGGGTGGTGATGATAAAGGCACACTTAAGATAGAGCAAAAAGATGTCTTATCCTATAACATCAAGATCCAGGTATTTGATGAACAATAGGATAACGGTATTCTTTACTGACATAAGTCTAACGAGAGTTGGCTTGAACCTCCCCAGGTGGTTGGCAGTCTCACGCCCGACAGCGTAATCGACTTGTGGACAATAAAAATTGTTAAAACTTATTTCAAAAAAAAATAAAAATATATTTTTCGCTAAAAAATAAAAATTTGATAATCTCTTTTTTGAGACCTATTTGCATGTCAAAAAAAAACATAAATTTTAAAATACATTTTAAAACTAGTTGTCCACCTGACGAATACATGTTTAGGCTAGGACGTAGCCCCCTAAGTGAGGTTCAAGACACACTTCTATACGAGTGGTGGGTTCTATATGTTCGGGTGACCGAGTAGCCTTCCTGGATCCTTATCTGAGCCTAGTCCCATACGAGTGCTTGCGGTCCCCCTCATCCGAATTTTGTTTCTTTGTTTTATCGAAGCTTTGGGACAAAGCACTCGTGTTACTTTTTCTTTCTTTCGTGATTTCCCCCAGGAGTTTTTTTGAGGATTTTCTTTTTGAGTCTTTTTTCGTCGAGTCTCTCGAGTTTTTTCCGCTTTTCCTCATATTTCCTGGATGACGTTTTCTTGCAGACCTTTTTTTTTTTTAGATGCATTTAGGTTTGCTATACTTAAGGGACAGCGGATCTCACAGGCGTACAGGCAGGTTTGCTTTGCATTTTACAGCAATTAATTTTCCTGTTTCTACCTGCTACTATACTGTAAAGCATGTTACACTTGTCCTGTTTCTACTTACTACTGTTCTTCCTGTATAGCATATTTTTCTGTTTCTACCTACTGTTCTCCCTGTATAGCATGTTACACTTGTCCTGTTTCTACCTGCTACTGTCTTTCATGTATAGCATGTTATACTGCTCCTGT